ATCAGTATACACACAGTTTAAGAAACACTGATCTAGATCATCCCCGATAAGTGTCTATCGGCCTGCTCTTAAATCTCTCTAGGGATGGAAATTCCATAACCCCCCTAGGCAATTTATTCCAGTGTTTAACCACCCTGAGAGGCAGGAACTTTTTCCCAATGTCCAACCTAAACCTCCCTTGCTGCAATTGAAGCTGCCGCTTCAGAAGCAAGCTCACAGCGTCTAAGTGTGATGCGCTGTCCAGGAAGGGATGCGGCAGGAAGCTGTCTCCTGCAAAACAGGATCTGAGTCCAAGTCCAGTAGTTTCCCAAAGGCTGGGAGCTCTGGCTCAGGCAGTCCAGTTCTGGCTCTTCTCTCACTTTTCAAAGAGGGGCATTACACCTACTGGTCAGGGCCCATCGTGCTAGGAGATGTACAGACCCAGCAAGAGAGACATGCCCTGTGATTGCAACGGAAATAGACAAGACCAAGGGCGAGAGAGGGAACAGCGATGGAATCCAATCACACCATTGGATGGTGGAAAAGTCGGAGACCGACCCCCTTGGGGCTCATGGCTCCCAGCCTAGTGTTCTACCCACGAGCTCTAGCCTAGTTGCTGCAGGTACAGCAAAGATGCAGACCTTGGATTGGGATGGTACACAGTCCAACCCAGGTTTGGAGGGGTGTCCACGTCAAGAGTTCCTCGTAGAGCCACCGACGAACATTCAACAGCTGTTCACATGCCAAAGGTTTAGCAGCATGTGCCAAAAAGAGTCACTTCTATTTAGCACGTATTTCTACAAGGCAAGGTTAAGGGTGGGACGTCTCCCAGGACCCGGGATTGCTCTAGCTCGGTTGCCACTGAAGTCAGAGGTGAACGCCCTTCCCCGGACACATAACACGCTGCATGAGAGCAGGCCCTTGTGGGCTGCAGGGCTGGGCCATCCTCCCCGCAGTGCCCCCAATGTGGGACCCACAGCAACCTGCTTGCCACAGACCTCGCCCTGGCCTGCCTCTGCTCCACCCACACCTTCCCCCTGCCCCACCCAGTGCAAGTCAGGGGATTACTAGGAACCGCTGCCGTGGTGAAGCGGAGCACCACCAACTGGGAGAGGGCAGCGTGGAGGAATGGAGCAGGCTGCTGGGCCGCTCTGCCTCCTGTGAGTGTGCTACTGGGTCGTGCATGGCCCCGGGTCCCTCCCAGTTGAGGCAGCCACCGTGGGACACCCCTCCCCCAAAGCACAGGGCTTGGGGAGGCAGCCCCAAATCGTCCCATGGACGGGACAGCTCTGTGCTACATGACACACAAGCACTGATACTTTGCAAGCTAGAAGATCATGGTGAAATGCCCCGCCCCGTCCCCCGCAAAAGGCCAGTGCATCTCGCGTTCATCTACTCAGCTCTTCTGAGCACCACACTCCATGCAGCCTCCTGGAGCCCAGTTGGCAGGTTTGTCCTTTGAGCACTAGAAGGCCTCAGAGCCGCTGCTCTGTACAAACTGCAAACAGCTGGAGAGGCTGGCAAAGCTCTTAGAGAACCCCCCCCCCCCCCCCAAACAACACAGAGCCTGGAGGGGAGATGGATGGGAGTTTTAATGCAGATGCTATATCCTCACGCCAGCCCAAGGAATGCAGGTTTGCCCCCTCATTGCCCTCCACCCATATGCTTTGGCCATTAGTTGGAGGCAACTCTCCAAGGAAGAAGAGAAGGTCTGACGCTCTCTGGACTCGGTCTTCCGGGCTCACTGGGCTTGCATACCTAGAATTGGTGGGGGGAGGGAAGGGCGGGGAAGGATGCCAACTGAGCATTAGCAGCACTGTGATTGGCTGCAGAGGAGGAGCACAGCTCTCATATCACGCTACATGCCCTGGCTTCGCGTGTGTCACTGTAATAGCGGTAGGAAAAAAATGACGTGGCTGAAAACCAGCAGAATCTGGCAACCCTGCACGTGGCAAACACACACAAAATGTCTCATGGCCCACAGACAGAATACCCATGGGCCGCAGGTTGCCCACTACGGATGCAACCCCATCACACGGACACTGGAACAACTTCCTGCTCCGCCCTTGTTAAAAGTGACTTTTCCCATTTGTCTTGGCAGCTCAGACTTGGGAAGTACCTCAATGGTTGCCCCTCCACAAGACGATGCTTCGAGAGATCCCATCCTTCTTCCTTTTACTCAACCTCAGCCAGGCCTAGGGTTTCCAGATACTTTCACAAAAAGTCCCAAATGTGGCGGGGGGGAAAAAAAAAAAAGGGCACTGCACCTTTAAATTTCCCTGCTTTCCAGGAGAAGAGTGGCCCCACTGGCCTTTCACTTGAGAAAAACAGAACATTTTACATGTTCAGTATTTTCTCTTTTTTTTCCGGACAGAAGGCACAATTACCAGGCTGTCCGGGTGAAAACCAGATATCTGGCAACCCTAGCCAGGCCTACATTTGGTAAAACACACACTTCCCTGGTGTTTCATGCCATTTCAGCTCCTACTGCCGGGGTGGACATTATGGGAAATGACACTGTGGCAAGGGTTTGGAGAGAAAAAATAAACCGACCCTCCCACGACAGCAGGGACTCGTGTACTTTATCTCTGCCATCCACTAATTAAACTTCTTCCTCTGTGAGAGAGGGGCTCGAGTCAGCACTGAGACACTCCCAGAACACTTATTAATGCAGCCTCCTCTCTTTCTCCTGTTTATCTTGCTTTCCGTGCAACTGAAACTGCCTGCAGGACAATTTGGACCTAGGATCTCTGGAGCTTAGTGTAGGAGCTGCTACAGCTTGAGCTAAAAGCCAGCTGGCTCTCAGCTTCAGCTGTAGAGCTCCCTTGTTCTTATCTCTCGCGGTAAGTGGTTTAAATGCCACTATATGGGACAGTGAACCACACCCACTAGGTGCGTGGGTTGCACTATCATTTATATTTCCACAGACCATGGACTCCGCTCCACCCGAGGAGTGCACAACCCAGCACAGAGAAACAAGGGCATCCCAGATCCAGCTCCATGTCACAGCCTTTTTGGTTTACATTTTGAACAGAATGATTCTCCCCTGGCTGCTTTTTCACATGCCTCCCACCCTGACCAATCCAGCCTCCTTGGCTGCCGACCTATGACCCTACGACTTCCCTCCAAATGCTTTCCCTCTTGGAGTTTTTTCCTGGCATTCAAATGGAGGGGGGGGGGGGAGGAGGGGACACTCCCAGCAAGACC